AATTGGCTCAATTTTTTTTTTTCATATGTATTACCAGAAAACAAGAATTGAATTGGTATGTTCAAATTTCGAAAATGCACATGTATGCATCTAGCTAATTGGTCCAAGGATATAGTGTGACCTTTTTTGAGAAAAGTGACACAATGTCACATTTTCTTTGGGCTAACGCCTAGCATGTATCAGTGTAATTGATTTAAAGTTTTCTTTTTCATATATATTACTTGAAAACATGACTTGAATTGGTATGTTCGAATTTAAAAAATGCACACATGCATTTAGTTATTTGTTCCAATGATATAGTGTGATTTTATTTTATTTTATTATTATTATTATTTTTTTTTTTGGAGAAAAGTGACAGAATGTCACATTCACCTTGAGAAAACACCTTGAATGTATAACTGTAATTGAATAAAAAATAAATAAATTCATATGTACTACCACATAACAGTTCTTGAATTGGTATGGTCGAACTTCTAAAAATGCAGACGTTTGCATTTAGTTATTTGTTTGAATGATATAGTGTCACTTTTTTCATGTCACCTTTTTATATTCATTTTGTCAAATACCTTGCATGCACCATTTTAATTGATTCAAGCTAACTTTTCATATGTATTAACACAATCCGTTTCCTCCCAAGTTCAACAATGTCATTTTCAAACATGCTTCAAATTAAATTGAAATATCAGTCATGCTTTAAATGTTGTTTTCAAACTCATTTGAGATTTACTTGTGCTTTCATAAATTTTCCACTTTCACAGGAATTGCTTTCTCTTTCACCAGGAAAATAAACTACAAACACCAATATATTGATCATAAAAACCTAAACTACATCAAAATCACCGGAATATGAACATATTGAATAAGAAATCAGAAATAATATAAACCTAGAGATTTGGATTGATTATCTATAGAATTGATGAATAAAATTTTAAAGAAGATGCAGATGAAACAACTCTTAATCCTGTCTGGTCTTAGATTTCGCTTGATTTCGAGCTTCGAGGAGTTGGAATTTTGGAGCTCCTGCGTTGAATTCTTCATTGTATTTGTGGAGATTACCATAATGTTTACGTTATATTGAAGGAAATTTACAATATTTTCATTTTAATACATGTTTATCATAATTTTTCAAAAAATGACCCTAAAAACAAGGGTATTTATGTAAGTTCCCCAAAATTTATTGGACCTGGGGGAGGACAGTAGCCCAGCCCCCCGTCACACCCATAACATGTCAATTCATTATTGTATCATCCCTCAACTAAATTTCTAGATGTATCTCTAGCAGTGTCTATCAACAAAATGATCATACAATCACAATAAAGTTTGGATTGACTATAACATATCCAATCTTATATGCTTGCCAGTGCCTGCTTGGGACATTTTTTCACCGGTTTTCACCGATTTTGGATGGCACCGTTTATGTGAGGTTGAAAAAACCCGTGGTCATAGTTTTTTGGGCACCGATTTTGGATGGTTTAAGAACCACCCAAAATCGGTTTAGTGTAATTTTAAGCGGTACTTTCAACGTATCAAATCAGCGGATTTTGGCCATTTCTTTTGTTATCTTCTAATTTTACCCATCAGAAAATAATTATTTCCAACCAATCTATTTTCTTCAAAACTAAATTGTAAAGTAAAATATTTTAACTAAAAAATATTTATAATCTTAAGGATTATATTATAGTTAAAATGATTCTTATAAGTAAAATATTACTTGTAAGGTAAGAAAAAGTACATTATAATTAAAAATTGCTTACAAGTAAAAAATCACTTTTATTTAAAAAATAAAAAAAATTAATAATAAGACAAAAAATATTTATAAAATGAAAAAAGTTACTTAGAAGTAAAAAATTCACTTAAAGTTATTTAAAAGTAAAAAAAATTAACTTATAAGTGTAAGAATTACTTATAAGTAAAAAAATATTAACTTAAAATTTTAAGTAAATATTTATATTTATTTAATTTTTTAAAATAAATATTAAATTACACATTAAAAAAATTATCTATAAGTGAAATATCACTTAGAAGTTAAAAAATAAAATCATATAAAAGAAGATTTTACTAAGGGACATATACATATGTTATTCTCTTAAACAACTTTTAGAATTGGTGGATAATAAACTCTCGAGTATAGGTTGGACAATTTTAAAAACGGCTATTAAAATCATTCAAAATTGATCCACTCATAAACGCTTGGAACTAGTACTTTAAAAAATGCTCATAACTAGTACAACGAAACTCCCAAGCAGGTCCTTAGACTAAACAAGTGAGACGAAGTGCAAATCAGACTTGACAAATAGGATATATGTAGCCAGCCCACCCATAGTAAGTAATGAATAAGCTTTGATGAGTTGAGCAAAAGCATGATACTAATGAATGTACTTTAAGATATTGTTTGATGGCGATTAAAATTAAATTTTGGTAGATTTTAATAAAAGTGGATGAAATGTGTAGTTGAAAAATGTGAATTCCATGAAATATTAGATAAAATTAAGTATTAACTTTTACTTAAACTAAAATTTGGATTTTAATCCCTACCAAACATGGGCTAAATGTATGATAAACGACATGATGAGAGAGAGACAAGGTCCGTTCTATAAACAAATAAAAATTGAAATTATCCGATCTCTATACTCCATAGTTCAATCATCAAATTATTATTTGAAATAATCAACAGTTTAATCATCAAATTATTATCTGAAATACTCCAAAATTGTAAGCGAAATTTGAGTATTGAGACAATATAATTGATAGAATAATTCCTAACTATTTATCAACATTTGTACTGCACAGAAACTGTAAATTCTATAATGACGAGAACAATGATACATAAATCATACAAGTACAATGGTTAATTATATCAATAACATTTATCAATTAATATTGGTAAAATCATGTGAAAACCACAAATAAAGAGAGTGGAAAGCAGAAGAAACAACATAGACAAACAAGGACACTAAATGACATCATGGTTGTACAGTATAGACTTTACAGAAACTTAATTGCACTCTTAATGCGCATCACCTGCATCGAAGTTGGTTTGAAGCCGATGCCACAGAGCCACCTCCATCTTCTTTAAAAATATTACTAGTCTTAAGAAAACAATAAAATTTATATAGGTTTTCAATTTAATTTTCAAAAAAAGAGAAAATTTGAGATTTTATAATATTTCAATTACTAAATGAAATTTTAAACTAGAATACACATCAACTTATAAATTTATGATTCTTTATTTATGCTATGCTAATTTTTTTTTAATAAAAACTGAATTTTTAATTTTTGAAGAGAAGAAGCTCTAAAAATTATTTTACTGCGTCATTTTTTTAATTTATGTTTTTAATTTATTTGTATGTAAAAAGAAGAAGAAACCCCAAATTAAATTTAGAATTTGAAGGGGTTACATTTTGCTTTATAAATATGGCATTTCTTATTGCGACATCTTTTAATGTGATTGTTTGTTGCTTCCTGGATTGTCAGTTGTCACTCTATTTTGACCTGCCGATTTACACACTAACACATTTATTGGATAGTTATTGCCTTGTAAACTTATTTGTTACACAGGCGTGTCCGACTTTAGAAAAAATAGTATGCCACGTGGCACCTCGAACATGCCGCACAGGTAACATGTCAGTTCATTATCATTTCAGCCTCCAACTAAATTTGTGGACCTATCTCTTACAATTTATACCAGGAGAATGATCATATACATAATTGGGATAAAGTATACGATTGACTAAAACATATCCAATTTTATATATAAGCTACAGTTACACTAAACAACAAGTGAGACAAATGCAAATTATGTGATATACATGCTTTCAGTAGGGCAGACTCGACAAATAGGATATATGTAGTCAACCCTAAGAAGTAATGGATAAGGCTGATGAATCATGATTTTGTCAATTAACATAGATAAATAATTAGGAATTATAATTAGTACTGCACACAAAGTGTAAATCTTTTGAATGGCAAGAACTATGATGCATGAATCATGATTTTGTCAATTAACCTCGATAAAATCATGTGAAAACCACAAATAAGGAGAGAGGAAAGCAGAAAAAACAGCATAGACAAACAAGGACACTAAATGAAATCATGGTTGTACAGTACGAACTTTTGAGAAAGTTAATTGCACTCTTAATGCACAGCACCTGCATCGAAGTTGGTTTAAACTGAACTCCCATATCTCAAACTGCAGACTGTATAAATTCGAAGAGGAAGTAAGAATGTAGATAAACACAAGAAAGCCAAACGTGAAAATGGAAAAGGTTCACAAAAGAAAATGGTACCTATAAATGATTGGCATGGACAACTTTAAATCTCTGCACATTATTATTCCTTAATATATAAATTGCAGGCATCGTTCCCCCTACTCAATTGTTCCTCTTCTTTTTTCTTTGCTCATCATACAATCGAATAACCAAGGGTTGAAATTTTCCCAAAAAAACGAAGTCGAATCAACTCGATGGATTGACAAGTTGACATTTCCCCGAAAACCACTTGGGATCACATCCAGCTCTCTGCAAGCTCCAATCGAAATGACTAGGTGCACGAGTCTAGGGTAGTGGATACATGTCTTAATTTTGGCATCTTCCACCCAACTTGACATGTCTTAATTGTGGCATCTTCCATATTTCTGGTGGTAGTTCCTTATCATACCAACAATCCCTCAGACAAACTATTGTTTGTAGATTCCGAAATTCATATATTGATGGAATAGGATCCTTTTTGTCACTATTTATTACATTTAGTCCATGTCCAAATTTAAGTTCAGTCATTATCCAAACAAAATTTTAACTTGTACTATCTCTGTGTTCCATAGTTCAATCATCAAAATATTATTTGAAATAATCAACATTTTAGTCATCAAATTATTCTCTGAAATTCTCCACAATTGTAAGCGAAAATTGAGTATTGTGATTCCGTAATCAATAGAGTAATTCCTAATAATTTGTCAACAATTGTACTGCACACAATGTAAATCTGTAGAATGACAAGAACAATGATACATGAATCGTGATTTTATTTTTTCAATTAATAAATTCATGTGATAAATACAAATAAAGAGAGTGGAAAGCAGAAGAAACAACATAGACAAACAAGGACATTAAATGAAATCATGGATGTACACTACAAACTTTTGAGAAACTTAATTGCACGCCTAATGCACAGCATCTGCATTGAAGTTGGTTTAAACTGAGCTCTTATATCTCGAACTGCAGACTATATCAAATTCAGAGGAGAAGAAGTAAGAATGTAGATATAGACAAGAAAGCCAAAAATGAAAAATGGAAAGGTTCACGAAAGAAAATGGTACCAGAAAAGATTGGAATGGAAAACTTTGAAGCTCAGCGCATTTAGTACTTGTCAGTATATAACTTGAAGGCATCGTTCCCCCAATCCGATTGTGCCTCTTCTATTTTCTTTGCTGATTCTACAATTGAATCACCACAGAAAAACAACTCGATGGATTGAAGAGTTGAAATTTCTCCAAATCCAGGAGGGATCTCATCCAGTAGTTCACAATCAAAAATTTCTAGGTGCTCGAGACTCGGGAAGTGGATATTATCAGCTCTCCAGTGCTTCAGTTCAACGTCGTATAATAGTAGAAATCTCAATTTAAGAAACTCTCCTTCATTTGGTTCCCACTCCTGACAAAGGAAGGCACTCGATTTCAATTTCAGCAATTCAAGATTTGGCATCGAACCAAGAATCGACAATTTGGAGGGATGAAGTTTGATGCCATTTAAAGTCAATTTTCTGAGTGATGTCGGAAAAGTGATATCAACTAGGAAATCAGAGCGGTCAGATCTAATAAGACAATTTAATGATTCAAGTTTAGTTAGATGGACAAGATTATTGATATGGTATTCTTTCCAATCAGCCTCCGTTATAGAGTCATAACAGATAGCCAATTTCCGTAGATTTGGAATTCTTTCTAGGACTTCCTCCGTCCAACTAAATCTATTTATCATTGAGAGTGTTTGAAGGTTTTCTAGAACAACAATAGAATTTTCTTCCCCCTTAGTTTCTGAAATGGGAGGATCAGGAAGACTTGCAATACCATTCCACTTGACATGTCTTAATTGTGGCATCTTCCATATTTCTGGTGGTAGCGTAGTGATCCCCACACGAATAATTATTGTTTGTAGATTCCGAAATTTATATATTGATGCAATATGGTGTCCAAGGTAGGAATTCAAGTACCGCATGTTAACCAATACTTGCATTCCATTTCGCATTTGATCCCTTCCCTCGATATGTAGCACTTTAAGTGACCTAGAATCGACAGAATATTCTACAGATGAAGAACGAAACAACCCCTCTAAAGACCATTGTGTTTTGTCATCACCCTGGAGAGTCCCTTTAGCCACATGGTAAAATTCAAAAGGTAATTGACCATTCTTAACATGAATACTTACACGGCGCATACTAGTGTCTCCTTGAATACCATAGAGACTCCCTTCAATGACATGGAAAAACTTCTCCTTTTGAGCTTCCATGATACAAAGGTCCCGTAACAGATCATGAATTCTACATGTTTTAATTTTTCCAATGGACCCTTTCTCCTGAACCAAAATAAGACTTCTTTGAACAAGATCCAAAAAGTACTCCTCTCCTACATCTTCCAACGTTTTAGAGCTTGCTGGTTTGAGGATTCCCTCTGCAACCCACAACTTGGTAAGTACCTTGACTCTTATTTCAAAATCTTCCGGAAAAATTCCCATGTATAGAAAACACCCTTTCAAATGATAAGGCAAATGTTTATAACTTAAAGAAAGTATCTTAGAGCATTGCTCATCATTTGAAGTTATTTCTGAACTTACATTTTCTGCAATAGTTCTCCAGTAATGTGGTGTTTTAGTGACCTTTGATAGGAGGCCCCCAATCACAGCAACTGCAAGTGGAAGTCCTCGACAATTTTGGGCAATCTTCTTGCCGATTTCTTCCAATTCAAGAGGACAAAAACCTTCTCCAAACACCTTCTGACAAAATAACTTCCAACTTTCTTCGTCGTTCAGGAAACGCACATGATGAAGACGAGAACCAGAGTTGATATAATTCGCCACATTCTCAAGCCTAGTAGTCAAAAGGATTCGACTTCCACTTTTGTCTTCTGGAAAATATCTTTTCACACTGTCCCAGGCCTCGATATCCCACACATCATCCATTACAAGAAGATACCGCCTACCCTTTAGCTTCTTGTACAAAAGTTCTACTAATTGATCAATGTCCTTTTCACTCCCGTCAATTTGTATTTTCATGGAATCTAAGAGGCCCAGTAGGATATTTCGCACATTATATTTTTGAGAGACAGTGCACCAAGCACAAATGTGAAAGTGATACTCAATATATTTATCATTGTAAACTTTATGCGCGAGTGTAGTCTTACCGATGCCACCCATGCCGACAATTGACACAACTTCAAGTTTTGATGAACTGCTGACTAGATGATCCTTGATCTTCGCCATGGTATCATCAAGACCAACCATAGTGCTCTGACCTGAAGAAGCTGGTCTTAATGAACCAACAGGCAATGAGGTGTTGCACTCCAAATCTTCCTGTATGCCACTCTCATCCTCAATCTTCCCTGCCCCTATCTTTATGGAATCAACTTCTTCAATTAGTTTTGCTATTTCATGGAATGAAGTTTTAAAGATGTCACCACTATGACTTGTAGATTCTTCAAGAACTTGATGTGCAATGCAAGATTCAATGATATCTTCAGTTTGACATACTGCATCACTGATCTTTCTCTCCAAACCTTCTATTGATTCGATTTTCTCTCTGGGAAAATTATCAAGAAAATCTTGCAAGTAACCAACTTTTTCGAGGAGGGATTCGATTTGTTGTTTCTCCCCAGGAAGAAGATATGAACGATCATATTTCAGGGTGCGCTGTAGAACGTGAGTAAGAGAAAGAAGAGCAGAGTAAGCCATTTCTGTTCTCTCCTACCACAGCTTGAAAGATAAAAAAAATTGAAGCAAAATGAAAGCAATCAGATCTGTTCCACCCAACACATTGTGCAAGTATATATTGTTTAAGAATGTTGATAGCAATTTGAAGTTTCTTAATTGAATAAAAGGCCGGCAATGCAGATTTCGAGAAGAAAAATTATATCAACTTGCAATAAAAATATTTGTTTATTTAATGGATGCAGACTCCCCACCCAAAACATTATGCAAGTATATATTGTTTAAGAATGTGATAGCAATTTGCAATTTCTTAATTGAGGCTGGCATTGTAGACTTTGAGAAGAAAAAATTATATTGAATTGCAATAAAAATATTTGTTTATTGAATGGATGCAGACTTCATACCAAACTATGCACGTGTACTGTTAAGCTCAACTAATGCAGTCAATACATGTGACCGGTATGGAACCCATGTACACTTTGCTCTTGGAAAATGGCTAAAAATCTGAGAATAAGCGATCCCAGACACAAGCTTAACAGTCAATACACTTTTAACTTCAGGTCTTTCATTATGCGCTTCAATTCGCTATTTAGTATCGCCACTGTTAACTCATAGCCCATTTTTACATTTAATGTAATTCCTTTTTCTAGAAATCTTCTTTCTACTCATATGACAATATTTATGCACTTGTTTTCATTCATTTCAAATGTAGACAATATTGAATGCTCAATTTGACCATCAAATCATGCAACCCACTGTCTTCCACTAGTCCAAAAAAATAAAGCAACTTAATTGTTTTGTTACTTTAGCCAATTCAAATGCACAATGATCTAACAAGTGTGTTCCACTAATCCAAAAAAGAAAGAAGGAAAGCAAATTAAAGGTTTGGTTACTCTAGTGAATTCAAACACATAATGATCTAACAAGCCTATGAGTTATAATTAAACCGACCACCCAGTCCAAAGAAAACAAACTTAATCACACTAATGAAAGAAATTTATATATATTCCACACATTAAAAGATTCAAAATCTCAAAAGGGAAAAAAGTAGACTAAGTCTTTATCAATATTTAACTTAAACTATCTTAACAAAAAGACAATTGATAAGATGTCATATTATAAGATGTGTTGTGGAAAGGGAAAAGAGAAAACAAACATGAAAATGTTAAAAAAATGGCAAGAGTAAAATGGTAAATAATGATTAAAAATGGTGAAGAAGCTACTTATGCATTTCCTAGATTCTATGTAGAAAAGAAAAATGATGGAAGAACAAAGCATAAAATGATTCGATTCATTAGCAATAAAATGTCTCGAACTTTTGAGAGGTACACATCTATGTCATGAAAGGTGTAAATAGGAAATGAGACGTGGCATTGAATATTTAACCTTTAATGCTGTAGTACCGATAGACTGAATCGAGTTCAAATAATAATGATCCATTGATAAGTGCAATTTTACAATTATCTAGGCAATGTTGGGGGGGGGGGGGGGGGGTTTGGGGGGTTTTTTT